TCTTCTGGCTTTACACTTAGAACAACTTGATTGCGTTTGTGTTGCTTTGCTGGTTTTTTAGAGCCAAGGTATGCCGTGCTGAGCTGTTACGGGTTTCACTCAGGTTTTGGTTTGGTGGCAGTTTCTTTGTTCTGGTGGTTGTAAGCTTCAAGCTCCAGCCGCTCATTATATAGTTCATACATTAATAAGATTTGTTACATCTCATTGATCATTACCGGTATAAGTGTTAACTTTTTATTTCCCTGTACAACATTATCCTATATATAGTAAAAAAGGTTTATTTTCGATTTTTAATTAATAATGTATATAATATGTATATGATATAAGATTTTGTGCTTATATATATAAACATAGTTAAAACATTTATTTCATTGTTTAATTGATATATATCTATATATGCAATAAGATTTCTGCTTGTTAGCAAGTAGTGAATGACCTATTATACACCTTACATATTTGATAATATTTTAACTGTTGTATTAATATTTCCCCTTTTAACTACTTATTTTGTGGTTTTTGTTGATCTATATTATATTTTTTTCCCTTTGCAGGGACAGAAGGAAAATGATTGTAGAACAATATTGAATACCTCAATTTTTCCTCTCTGGCGGGACAGTAAAATGCTAGGTATGAAGATTTATATACAGGTGCATGTGTAAATTGATGGGGCAACAAAAATTTGTAAAAAAATAAATATGAATTTTTTATATTATAATATTTAACTCAAAAACACTAATATAGAAAAAAAAAAAAAAGTTTAATTTATCTAATTTTTTTAGTCATACTCATTACTTTATAAGTTATTTCAAAATAAGTATTTGCATGTCTAAGTTTAGTATTGAAAATATTTTATTAGAATTTAATGTGACAAATATATGTACTTCACTTCATCTCAGTCAAAGGCAGAGAAAAGCATGACATACATATACCTGGTAAATGAAGATCAAGCCTAACAAACCCCATTTGGTTCATTAGAAAAAAGAATAAAAAAAAATCTAATAAGCCACTTTTAAGTGGAACCTTGTGAGATTCACTTAGCAACTTGATCATTTTCTTTGCAATAGCGTCCTACTATGCCAAATCGACGAGAAAAATGAAAAAAGAAGAAAAACAAAAGAGAAAACAATTGAAAAAAAGTTTGCTCGGAGAGAGTAAAAGATAGAGATTTGATTAAGGTAATAACAGTCTCTTGATTCACATATCATCTCCTTTCATGATGTTTTTATAACTTGCATGGAGACTAATAAAAATTGATAAGCTGGAAATATATTTGAAGAAGTGATTTAGGATCATGTCAATTTAATTGGAATAGGTGAATTTGTTGAACTAAATAAAAATATTTATGAAAATTATAACCACTTCTAAATCAGGGGCAAAATTTGAAGTTTGGGATAACCTAGTCCATTTCCTTCATCGCAATTGAAAATATTATGGTCTCACCTTAACTGTCTTCTTATGTACTGTGTACCACTAATCCAGAAACCATCCAATCCTTAATTGTCACCATTCTATTTGAGTTTGTCCCATTGAAAATGTCACTACATCATGTGCTTTTGTAAATTTATAATTTAAAATATATAAGGGTTAGAGGTTTATGTGTCTAAAATTTTGGACTATTCACATAAGCGAAATAAATGTTAACAACTTTGTTTGCAAGTAAAGAAAGAGAACATTCAAAGCATCATAGTTAAGCTAAAGCATTTACCTTAATTAGGGTGAAAAATCCTATAGGACGCCCTAGTTAGCAGACACTAACCTCGATGACAGCTAGAAATAGCATTATGGGAAACACTGGGTTAAAAAACTCAAGAAATAAAGGAAACAAAAAAATTTAACAAAATTATTTAAAAAACGGAAATATTAAAAAAGGTTGAAAAAGAAAAAAAAAAGATTGAAAAGTGAGGTGAAAATAAACAAAGGCAAAGATAAATCATAAAGAGAACAAATGCTTATGGCAAGTTGTCAATAGAGATCTACAGAGTAATTGAGGTGGTGTGAATTCCTCTTTTGCGAGCATAATCATTTGAGAAATGCTAGTATTGGGAGATAGATAGAAACAATACGAGAAATACAAGATTTGATGAAACTCTCACTGCCACAACCCCCTCTTATAGGGCATAATCAAAAAATAGATTCATTAATAGCAAGATATTATTAATATTTACAAAGTAAAAGTGTATTCCTTAAAAATATATATACATTATATAAAAATATAACGATGCTCTATTAATTTTGTTAGAAAATTAAAACTAACTTTGATACCAAAATAATAAAAAAAGATGTTTGCTTTTCTGCCTACATAGAATAATTCTTAATTGTTGACGCCTTTTGTTTTCTCCCGGATGCTACTAGAG